TGATGATGGCTCGTCAAGAGCAGGACAGCATGTCTCGTGCTGATGGCCAGCCTCCAATGCCTGGGCAGCAAGGCTTGCCTCCAGGCACTTCTCCCCAAGGCAGCAGGGCGGGCACGTCACCGAACCCCAACGATCAGATGAAACGAGGTACGCCGAAGATGCCTCAGACTGGTCTCCCAGGCTCCCCAAGCGCGGCAGACGCCATGGGTCAGAACCGTGGATCGCCAGCTGCGATGAACTTCAACGGCGGCCAGATGCCTCCTGACATGGCTGGCGGCCAGTTCTTCATGAAGGGCATGCCGGATGCCATGGGCGGTCCGAACGGTATGCGTCCGCCGAGCTCTAATCCGGCTTTCAGCGGACCTCAAATGGGCCAACCCATTCCGGCTGGAGCAGTCAACCGGGTCCCGAGTGGCAATTGGCAGCAGCAACAGGGCCAGCCCATGGCACCACAACAATCTCCGGCCCAGCAACCTCAATCTACTGGGACGCCTCAGACTCAGAACTCAATGCCTCCTCCGCAGGCTCCGCCAGCTGGTGCCAACACTGCTCGGACATCTCCTCAAACCCAGAATGCTGCTCCTCCGACACCTCAGCAGACGAGTAAACCGGCACCGAAGAAGAAAGAGCCCAAGGACACTGCGCGGAAGGTATGTTTTTACATCCCAATCTTTAGCAAATCTACTGTGTTTGTTTTACCTTATTGAACGCGATTCTAGCGAACCACGAAGAAGCAACCCGCTGCCGCTGCCGCCGCCGCGAACACGGCTGCTACACCCTCCTCCGAAGCCGAACATCCTCCAACCACACCTACTCCATCGACTCCGATCACCCCTCAGCATCCTAGCTCCTTTAACAAGGCTGGGCCGAATCCGACGACGAGTGCTCCGCAGCAGCCAACATCGGCGCCAGCACCTCAGCCTATTGTGCAACAACCACCCCCGGATCAGACCCAGCAGTCTTTCAATGACCTCAGCATCCCTGATGTATGATATTCCTCAATTCCTTCATGCACTTCCCGTTCAGCGATGGTTACTAACAGATAACAGGCGTCTGCGTTCAATCTTGATTTCAGCGCTTTAGAGAATCCCGATATCCTTGAGAACTTCGACTTCGACACCTTCCTCAACACCGATGCGGATACTGCTGGATTCGGATTTGACCCCAACATCTCCTATCCAACCGATGGTGTTGAGACCGGCGCCGGAGATGGCTTATAAATGAGTCCGTCGGTTCTTCAGTTTTGAATCTCCATTATACCCTTGCTCTGTACATTTCATAAACTTTCCAAACTTGTGCCCAACTTGTGCTATTCGGTTGCTCTGTTATTCTTCTCCTTTCTTCATTTCCTTTGTTACTGTCTGCTGACATGATTGGATACTTGCTGAGAGACTGGCGTTGGTCGTATTCCATGCATATCCCTTCCTTTTTTGCAGTTTATCAAGCCGCCTTCCACTGTCTTTGATGGCATCTAACTCACCTGGGTATCTGTGACTATGAGCCTCTACATTCTTCTCTTTTCCTTTTCCCACTTTACTTTCTATCTCGTTACTTAATATTTTATTCTCGTGAGTTTCCGAATGGGCACCAAGTTATAACTAAACATAAATCCTTTTTGTCCCTTCAGAATCTCTTAGATTCTCTCCTCAAAATGTGCCTTTATTCTATCCCCTTTACTGTTCTCTTATCCTGCTTATCTTGAGCTTCTTTCTTTGGTTGTCTCCTGTTTTGGCTCCAGTCAGTGGCTCCTGTACGTTGCGGCGTTAAGTGATGAGACCCTAGTCAAGGAGAGGTTTCTCTCCGGAAATGGCTTATGAATTGAGGAAGTTGCAGACCTTCAAACATCTATTGTCCTAGTTCAGTTTCTCTGTCTTTACACTGATCCTGAAAGGCTTTTAAGGAGCATCGCATGATGTAGTCTCCTAATAGTATTTCCCCTTCCCTTAGCTGGCAATTTAGGGAAAAAGCTGCGTCTTTCTGGCTGGTGTTATTTACTTTCTAGCAATTCGGACAATAGCTGCTGTGGCGACACTACCATTCACTTGCTTTTCATTACTCCAATCTGAAACGGGACTTTGCTAGCCCCTGCGAGGCTAGACACAGTTCAGAGTATGCTCCGGCCAAGTATTGTCAAGTAGTAAGAGCATTGCACAGGTACATTGAACAGGTATGGAGGTAGGGCTTGCGGCAGATGATCTGGACAAACCATTCTACCGTAGTAGGTCCCATACAATCCTGACAGTCTATCTTTTGTTCAATCCAACAGTGGTATGAATTATGCTTGCGAAGATAGGATGGAGGTAGATGCTTCATTCCTACCCTTCAATTCTCTATCATTGGTCTAAGAACATCAACTTTGTTTGTCCTCGATGCACGCTCCTCCACTCATACATTTGAATCCACTCCGAGATGGAGATAGTCCTCTTAGTGGCTAATGCCCCCCCAGTTTCTAATCCTCTCAATCTCTTTTGCTGCCTCATCTTCCAAGCGAGTATCTTCCCTCACCATCTCGATGAGGTATCTAGTCACTTTTCGAGCACACGCTTCTTTCGCTTCGGACATGCTGCCTTTGGACTCTCCGATCGGACTTGCACGACGCAGGAAGGGGTCATTGCCGAAATACGCAGCGGCCTTGTAATCGCCTTCCTTCATATGGCCGTTGTTTCTCTCAATCCGGATCTCTGGGACTTCTAGAGAGAGAAGTTGACATATTCCTATTTCCGAAAAAGTCAGTGTGAGGACAAGCAGCAGTAGGAGGCCAAGGGAGAAGTGGATTGAAACAGCAATGACGATGAGATCTTACTCTGAAGCTTTCCTGTGAATGTCTCCCAGCCTCTCTCCAATGCTGACTCGAGTTCCCGATAACTGACGCTCCATCTCTTTTCTACATTTTGCTCGTGCTCTTCAATTGGTGCCAACCTAGAATTGCCGGCTAAGGGTAAAAGGTTGGCGTTGACGCCCTCGGAGCTGCCTTTGACCACTCGCTTTTTGGCTTGGCCTTTGCTAGCATGATCCTCACCAAGCCTTTTGCGGGGACCCTTCGAACTATCATTCCCGTTGCTTATACCCGCTTGGAATGTTTCTCTGGGGACCACAACCAACAGGCCCTCGTCGAAATTTCGTAGCGCGGCCGCGCCGCTGATGCCATCCGGCGGGAGTTGACCAAACGTCAAAAGCGCATACAGAGTCATTTGTGCAGCAGAATTCTTTGAGTTCCACTCCTTAGTGTAATGCTTGAGCACTCCAAAGCGTGAAAAGTTGGCTACTTGAGCCTCATGGCGACATCCTTGCTTGTGATTGTACTTGGTATACGTTGGTTCCGGCAAACCATTCTGGATGCAGTAGTCTGTCAAATCAGACCATTAGCTATCATCACAACGTAAGGATGCGTAAGGTACCTTTCAAGATGTCGGTCCAACTCCACCCCGTCGTCAGAGGGCAATCCATCGGCTCTGGCGGCACCGTCCAGGAAGAGTAGGGGCTCAGCAGCTTCTCAAGGGCCTTACGCGCCATAGCACTTTTGGCTTGGAGAGGCGTATGGAATGAATAGTCCGACTCAAAGGTTAGCCCGTACAAAGTCAACTTGCCTTTCCAAAAGCCCCGTCTCCTGCTGGAGTCACACTGAAACTTCGGAAGTAGAAGAGCCTGTATTGCCAGTACGCCGAAGTAGTAGAGGACTTTGTCGCTGCTAAGGGTGGAAATATCGAGAGAGCCCAGGGGCAGACAATTTCCCGGGACCTGCAGGGAATTTCCGTCAGTTCGAAACAGTACTGATATTCTGATGTGATAAAGATGAAAGGGTATACTGGAGGATTCCTAGCCCTAGTCGAGTGAAATAGGCTTACCTTCTGAGATTCGAATACCACGTACGCCCGCGATGTACCAGCTGCAACTGGTACGAGGCTTATTACCTCCGACATTTCAGCCTGATCAGAGGCGATGGCACCAGAAGCAAGTAGCCCGGGGGGACTGTCCCGCTCTTGTTCTCCTCGTACCACAACAGCCGAAGCCCCAGGCGCTCCTTCTGCAACAGTAGAAGGAGTATTTTCACTAGCATTCAACTCCATCTTGCAAGCAGGACTACTTGGATTAGCCTTCTCAGAGACGTCAGGAGCATGATCCCCAGAAAATGAAGTATTCAAAAGCCCAGCTGAACCTGAGGCCCACTGAGAAAACCCTCCACAAGTCTGAGGGGGACGGAAAGTGAAACCAATCTGATGATTAGGTCCAGATTGATTGCTGTCTTGGTGAGGCGTACTGGAAGGAAATGAGGTGACGCCAAAGGCAAGACGATTGCTCTTCTCAGCGGAATCCATGTCGAATAATGATGTATTGGGATGAAAAAAGGAGCGAGGAGGGAGTTGTGAGGAGAAGGAGAGACATAAACACAAAACGAGAGGGACTGCAAGAAGGTGGGCGAGTAAACAAACAGAAGGAGTGAATAAGTGAATGCGCAGAAGGCCCCTGCAACTAATGTAGCGGCAGCAGAGGCATACAGTGATCTCTGCCATATCACCATGGGTTCCTGCTGTTTTCGCATTCCTACCTTATAAGCTGATAAACTGTATCTCGCAGTAGCAGAACAGCCCTCATTCTATAGCGAACTTGATGATGCAAACTCCAAAGGGAACAGGGCGATGAGCTGATTCAGACCCGAATCAATCTTGTATGGATTGTTCTACGAGCGCCTGGATCTTCGCTAGGCAACCCTTCAGTGTACAGTCTTTTGCTTTACAGACCATAAGTACTATGTATGGCTACACTGACCAATTGAACATACTAAATCGCCTTCCTCTGATGGAAGTTCATCAATAATCAACTCTCTTTGACACCAGTCGAACTTGTCGTCAATAATAATATAGTTAGAAGCATATATAACAATCAATGAGTGTGGATGCTTCCGAAAGCATGAACGCCGAAGACGTAGCAGACAAAGCAACCCAAGCGACTCTCTCCACCACCCATCAGATGCTATTGATACTTGGTGAGGATGGCCCGAGTTAGTCAATCTCGACTGCATCGGCAGCGGTGTCGATAATCTGAAGTTTCGCATCCAGAAAGTCACCAAAGCTTGCGTGTTGATCATGATCTTCCACTACGGTGACATGATCTTCGACCACGGGCAAGTTCTTGGACGGACTGAGGAGCACCGTCTCTTTTTCAGCGATGAGACTCACGCCTCCACGAGCAGAACCCGTGGTAGAACGGCGTCGTCTGGACTCGATGGGTGTCTCGAAATTTCCACTTGTGCGCACGGTGAGCTTGGTAGGTGTACGGTCGACCTTGTCATTATCCCGGCGTGGTGTCTCGCTAGAGGCCTCATTCTCTTTGTTATCCGAAGAGTTTCCCTCCTTCTTGCTCCTGATCTGTGTAGTAGGACTAACGTGCAGTTTGCAAGTTGCTGTAGCTTCCAGCAATGCCTCGGCAGGGAGACTGGATTTGGCGCTGGAACCAGAGACGCTTCTGGATCCTGGCTGTGAAAGCTCCTTCAGAATTGACGGGCGCCTTGCTGTCTTGACACAAGACGATGAACGCTCTTCGGCAGCAGCAGAAAGCTTAGAAGCAACAGGAGGTAATGCTGATGACGTATTCTTGGGTGCTTGAGAAGTGCAGGCGAGAGGCTTTGGGGGACTGACTCCCTCGAAAAGTTGAGAATACGTTTCCTCATCAATAGGAGCAACAATGCTTGGTTGCTTGCTATGCTCGTAGCTTATACCGGTCATGCTGGATATAGCGCGGCTGCTGGATGAATTGGAAATATAATCAGGCATACACACGTCCTCCCAAGAAGGTCTTGCCCCTCGATGGCGTGCAGCGGGGTCAAGGATGTGTGGATCGATGAAAGGGTCCGCCATGAGAGGTTCTTGAGTAGGTTGATACGTCCACGTTGTCTCCCTGTTGCTATTTTGCCACTGAGGCGGGGGAGGTGGTGGATAATTCCTATACGGCCAAGCTGTATACGCCGCTGGGTTACTGACGCGGTTGCTGTTGGCTACCACGCTTCGATTCTCATGTCGAGTTGGCGAGTGGGCATGTAGGTCCTCTTCTTGCTTTGTGCCACTCAGAACGCTTCCAGCATTGTATTTGAAGACACGCTGCCCGCGGGACCACATGCCAGAATTAGGCCAGGCAATGTTGGAGCACTCTAGGACTTCTGCTCTGGGATCAGCTGAGACCACTTGGTTAGAGGGAAGAGAGATCATCAGAAAGCACTTACGCAGAGGCGCATGCTGGAACGAAAACGCAATTATATCCTTGACTCTCTCGAACGGAGGATTGCGATTTGGCCGAGCGAATCCTTCAGCTATAACCACTCTGATTCTGCCATGCAAGTCTCCAGCTTCCCAGTGTCTTTGTTCCAGAATATCTTGGTGGAAAGGCGGGAAACGAAGGTAGTCCTGATCTCCGTTCTTATCAACATCTTCAAAGCCTGTCAGAGTACTCTCAATGGAGGATGAGGAAGGGACTCCTACGAGAACTTAACTCTGGATAGAAAGGACAAGTAATTAGTTATCTTGCAATGTGGTGGATAGGGGATGAGAAGCCCAAGTTACCGATAATGTGCGGCCAGTTGGTTCTCTGCCCGAACACACTTCCTCTAGCACGCGTTGTAGATCAATTTAGCACATTTCTTGAGCTCAGACGGGTTGTATCAGATGAATGGACTTACGAAACACATAGCCCATCAATGAAAATCCGGATCTCGAAGAGCAAGGCATCATCTGGTTGCATCAAACTCTCCATTAAAAGGCTGGGACGAGGTTTGTCCCAGCTATGAACAGACACTCGGAACGGGGTATTCTGGGGCAAACTCGGGATGAAAGTGGTGAGAACTGGCAGTTGGACAACACTAGCTCGCGGCATGAAGTAAGAGCCTGGATTGACGATGGCAGCACTGTTGATATACGGAGTCTCCACTGTAGTGGCATGAGTGAGAGCTGTCGTACTTGCTGGCTGAATTGGCACCGACCTTCCTCTTGGGTAACGAAACATTGTGTCCTGAACTCCTGAATCGGCACCTTGGAGCTCTCAGGGAAGAGCAGCACATCCCAGTTCTCGTATCGCATCCTGAACCTATGCGGTTTCGAGTCTCGGGAAGAATGAGAGCTGACTCATGAAGCTGGGTATTGTAGAGAATACTGAGTAAATGAAAGCACATGCACGTGCAGACCAAGGACAAGAGGAGAAGCCCTGAGTAGCTGACCTCGAAGACGATAGTCAATGGAGGAAGACGTGAAGGTGAAGACAAAATCAGGCGATATTTGGGTACCAATGGGTGCTCCTGCTCTAATAAGCAAGTTGGCAATAGGATTTCCTAAATCGGAAGGTGGGCGTGAAAAGAGGTCAACCGACACTCTGGGCCGAGACACTTGCGCCCTTATATCTTGCGATGAGAAATGGTATAGGAGAAAGCCGTGTACTGTGACAAGGCGTAGTGAGAGGGATAGAGTGATAATAAGCGTATTGAAGGCTATCTATTTCGCTATACGCACTTGTGAGGAGGCAGCGGCACATAAACTCAGCGAGCTAGTCGGTAAAGGGGGAATCATCCGTGAAGGGCAGACAAACGATAGGAGAGTAAACGCCAGACGTGGATGAATATGGAAGCAACAGAAGACCTCTCCAAGAGTTGCAAAGAACCAGAAAAGTTACGAACGCTTGCATATCCTCGGAACGCCCAGAGACTGCTCGCAGTCGCAACAGACCGCCGTAAACCTTTTAACAATGATGCAATTGAGCCACCGAGCGAACTTCATAGGCACGCGAAGATTGACAGACGGTGAATCCTCCGTAAGGCCTACAATGCTATGATGGTGAACTGATGAGAATCCGCCTCCCCTCTCTCACAATGCCTGTGGAAAGAATCCAGTTTCATGGTGAAAATAGACCTCTCGCGCACAAAAGAAAGAGTCGAATGAGTGGGAAAATTTGATCTTCCATGAAACCTAAATCGAAGAAACAGGAGGGCAAACAAGGGTGTTGTACAGGCCATCTGTCTAGCAAAAAGCATGACGTAGCATCCTCATAGCGGAACACGATTGAACTCGATTGCTTCACGAGAAAGACATGAGAGATGAACTTTTCGCAGAATGCCTGCCCGAAGAGTATAGGAGACATGAGGAGAGACGAAATAAGGCAAGGGTGAAAGCGCATAAACAATTTGAATTGCTGTTACATGAGCAACGTAACCTAGGGGCCGAATATGACGAGAATAGAAGGGGACATTGGGGCGTGGGTGAACAACAAGAGAAACATCAATAAAGGGGTAATGGCATGATGAGGAACATTGAGATAGCTTTAAATAGAAAGAGCTCAATCTTGCGGTGAATAAAGCGCTCATACGAGATCAAACGAGTAGCACAGGAGAGAATGCCCATCAAGAGCTATAGAGGGGAGCCTTCGCAGTAATAAATAGCAAACGTGTTATGACACAAAAGACCCATCGTTGGAATGACGCAAAACTCCTGCAGGTGCTTCAGAATAACGAACGCTTTTTACTGTACAAGTCTTCGTTAATCAAACTGAGCTTCATCAGATGACCGAGGGGCTTCAGAAGTATTATTGAGACTACCAACCTTCATAGGCGCGAAACCACCGTACTGGTGCGCTGGGGGCATGCCCATAGAGGGGTACATCGGAGGCGGGGGAGGGGCAGGGCGGTAAGGGCTGCCAGCGGGGCCGGAGTTGTTCTGAGAGCGACCCCAGCTGAGACGCACACGGGAGTTACCGATGGGGTATCCCTGCATCTGGTTGATGGCCATCTCCGCGGCGTGGCGCTGAACGAACTGAACGAAGCCGCAACCCTTTCCAGGAGGGATCTTGACGTAAGTGATCTCGCCGAATCCCTGGAAGAAAGAGCGGAGCTCATCCTCGGTGACATAACCAGAGAGCCCACCAACGAAAACAGTTGTGTTGTTAGGGTCAGTGAACTGGTTCATAGGCTGAGGAGCACCGTAGAATCCCATGGGAGGAGCGCCCATTGGGGGGTACATGCCAGCGGGACCAGGCATGCCCATGGCTCCGGGAACAACACCAGGACCTTTGTTCTTGGGAGTGGCGGTGGAGATGCGCATGGGACGGTTGCCGCAGTAGACACCCTGCATCTCGGTCAAAGCACGCTGCTGGTCGTTCTCGTCGGAGAAGCGAACGAAACCATAGCCACGAGACATGCCGCTGATGGGGTCGGTCATGATCTTGGCGGACTTGCAGGACGGGAACCGGTTCTGGAACAGGGAAACAAGGACGTATTCGTTGACTTCAGGGCCGAGATCACCAACGAAGATGGAGTACTCGGGACCACGGTCGTCACGGCTGCACAAGTCAATCTCCGTTAAACCCAGATTCACATTGTACATCACTCACCTTCTATCAGCAAGACCGCCGCCAGTGGCCCAGTTCAGCTTGAACACGCGGTTGGTGTTGGGCATGGGGGTCCCGTTGAGAGAGAGGGCCTTGGCTGCAGCGGCAGGGGAAGCGAAGTCGACGAAGCAATATCCGGCATTGCTCCTACTACCAACATTAGGATCGCCTTCAAAAGAGTAAGAAATTTCCCATTAACTCACCCAGAAAACTTGTCACGGATCATCTTGACATTGACCTGCTCGCCCATCTGGAACCACAGATTGCGGATGAAGTTCTCATCGATCCAAGGCTCAAGCTCGCCCATCCTGAATGATGGTCAGCAAAAAAGAACGCGTCTTTCCGAATATGCGCATGAGCGCGATGATCGAGGCCAAGCGTACCAGAGAGTGGTCTTTCCCTCATTGCCCTGCTGAGCCACCGGAGCAGCTGAGGGCTCGCCGGGGGCAGGACCCTGGAAAGAGCCAGTGGTAGGGTCAGCCTGGCCGGTCATTGTGGTATCCGCAGTTGCCGGAGCGCCTGGGGCAGCAGCAGCAGCGTCGGCTGACGGGTGCTGGTTTTGGAAAGAGTCAAAGTTTTGGAAAGACATGTTGACTAAACTCCGACGGTCGTAAAGATAGGTATCGCGTTAATGTTATCTGGGAACATAGTAATTAGTATTAGCGAAAAACGCGTAAATGACTTCCATCGAATGTGATGAAGGTGCGATGGCGCAGAAGCGGCAGAAAAGTCGCGTCGGCGAGGTTACGTACCTCGAAACTAAAGTTCAAAGCACGAAATCTTTCTATCCCGAAAACGGCTCGTTCAACCGAAAATTCGTTGGGAATCGTTAAGGAGAGAACAGCGTACGCTCGTTTATACTCGAAAGAAAACTAATTCGCTCCCTGTCACGAATACACAAGTAGTGGTTAGTAAAATGAGGATCTAGAAGCCGAGATAGAATTGAGGCAATGATGGATAATGGCTCAGAAATCACAACAGGAGTGCGATTGAACCAAGAATTTGACTAGCGCCTTCAAAGTGAGGCTGGAGATCGCAGAATTTGGAAACGAGCGCTGAGTGACTTGAAGTTGAAGTATAGTGTGAGGCAGATTCCGACGACCGATTCCCAGAAAAGCATGTCATTCAATGTTGAGGCACGAATCCCCGTTATGCGACTCAGCGTAGCGCTCTTCACTGATTCACTGATTGCCAAGACGAAGATTGCAGCGACTGAAGCTCCGAAAGTGACGGAAAAGTCGGAATGCTGATTTGCTAAGCGAAGCGACCGAAAGAGAACTGATCGAGTATTGTGAAGCGTGAAGTAGCGTGTCTCCGCCAGGTTGCGGCCGCTTTCGTCAACGTTGGTTCAAATCCACTCCGGTTGCGACCGTCCCCGCCAATCCAGACAGAGGGATTCCCATCGGACCAAAAGCCATAACAATGGATTGTATATTTGACAAAGTCGAGGACACGATCGAAAGACGTTGTGAGTTGGTCCGACTGTCCGACATGTATCGGGATCCTCTGTCAAGGCGAGAAAGCAATCGGTCTTGCGCAGGTGATGGGCAGCGCCAATCGACACTCTTAGACGAACCTCACGACCCCCGCGCAGTATTCAAGAATGACGGCAGAGGAATCGAGCCGCGAAAGAATGTAGACTCCAGAGCAGAAAGTCTGCTTCCGAGGTGCACCACCGCTTGTGAACAGTAGGGATGGTATATGAGGGAAGAGGGCCGACAGGGACCGTGCGGGGCGACGTAATGAGCAAAGAAAACTCAATATGGCTTACCAGGTATATCAAATAGAAGCGCCTTTAAACTTGACTTCTTTTCGCAAAGGCAAAAAAGAAAATAAGATATGCGATCGATTGGCGTGGCGCGAAGGCGAGACTACTCGTTAAGACAACGACGAGACGAGAGACACCAAGGACGACGAAGACCGGCGAAGTGGAGAAGTAAAAGTGAAGAAAAAAGTGAAAAAGGCACAAGAAGAGGTAACAGAACTATCCGAAAACCGACTCCGTCTTTTCCGACAAGAACAAGAAACAGGAGAAGGAAGGAGAGGGATTACGAAGAAAAGAGAAGAGGAGGGGTAGAAGAGTCAGATATTCTTCTTCAGACGATGAAGGAGGGGAGAAGAGGGAAAAGAAGAGGGAAAGGGAAAAAATGGGAAGAATTCCTGGAGATAATAATTACAACCAACCAACCAACCTAACGTAGGCAGGTAGGGCAGACCCGAGCAGTGGACGCAAAGAATAGCTTACTTAGACGAACGAACAAACGAAACAAGATTCAAAGAATAATAATTAGGTATAGTTAGTCAGGTAATACCTTAATAATACCCTACCTTACAGGTTTGAACACCAGGACGGGCTGCCTGGAGGAGGAAATTGGAAAGAGATGAGGGGCGCATCATCTCTCAGTACCAATAATGCCATGTGTGGGACAGCATTTTGCCGAATCTTTTCTTCCTCTCTTTCTTTCAAAACTGACAATACTAGAAAATAATTATAAAAGAAAAATATTCTAAATTACGATTCTATTTTCCTAGTAGTAGCTTTGCAACCTAGACTCCTCGTCTTTGTCTTTGTTAACCACTCAATGACTAGATAGATAGGGTTTGTGGCTCAGGCGTTCAGGCTTTCAAGCGTAATAATGTAGATATCTGCCCAGGATAGTCCTAGCCTCCTACAGTCCGACCTCTAGGGCCCTGCCGCCCTAGGCTG